ACACATATACATACATATATATATATATATATATATTTATATATATATACACATATATTAAATTATACAAAATGTGCATCTCTTTGTAAACATTGTGCCTTAGCTTTTAATTCAATATTTGAGGTTTCTAGAGTTTAAACACGGTTCAGACTCGACAAAAGGAATGAAACATCTTAAAACTCATTAAATATATCCGGATTATTTTCCTTTACATTCCTACTCAGATATTTCTATGACAGGTCTGCCTTCACCTTCTTTTTCTCTCCCACAAATCCCAAATCAACCATCACATCTGCCCTCCAATTACAGTGTGCAGTTTTATTTTAAAGCAGCTTATGCAGCTTTATGTGCGCACTTAATACAACCATAAAGCCGCATTACAGGCCCACTTCCCCACCGGCGGCCTTACCGCAAGTGACCGCTTGATGGCGCTCTTGCTCCACCGATAAAACAGACCTCGCCTGAGGCTCTGCTTTGCCTTTATGGAAGACATGTACGGGTTCCTTTAAGGGGGGTGAGACTTGCCGTATTCCTCTTCTTAATGTGTTTTAAAGGGGGTATTTTTAAGAAGAAGTGAGGTGATTAGGCCACTTTTTGACTTTGCTTCAGAACATCCTGACATTTGAAGCAGCTTCGGGTCGTTTTCACTGCAGCGTTGAGGGGATGAAGAGGAAGGTTTGAGGCCTTGGAAAATAATAAGCCATAGACGTGCAGGACAGGCTGCCAGGAAATGTTTATTTTTTTTGGTGAAAAAATCATACCAAGGACGCTCTCGCCTTCTCCATTTTCTGTCTGCTTAATATGCAGGCATGTGTAGGTGTGTGTGAGTGCTTGTGTACTGGATGCCATGAACTTTGATCAAATGGGAGCAATATCTTCACCCATAAAGGATACACAGACTTTAAGCACACTGCTACTGTGGCCAAATCCATTCTCTATAGATTTGACGCAGTGGACGTGACGCGTAAAGACGCAAGGGCCGAGTCCACTTTTAGATGTTCCTTCCTGCTCCAAATGCATTGCGGACTCAGGCGTCTCCTCGTTCATTCAAGTGTGTGTGTTCACACTCTTCTAATTTAGTGGCCTGGCTTTTGTAGTGGGGATGTGCAGTGGACACTTGTTCAGGCGCGTGGAAGCTGGTCAGAAAATGTGAAAAAAATGTGTGTGTTTTTTCACACCACATTTAGGCACATGCAGACAACAGATCTCATAAGCTTTATTGGAAGTGTAAAACACGGCGCGGTGAAGTTTCAGTAAGATCATATTCTGGGTAATAAATTGGAAAAATACTGCGGCAATTACCGCTCAGAAAGTCGGGCGTACAATCAGCTGATTTACCACAACACAGTGAGTAATTCAGCTGCGCGCTGGCGACATTTGGGCCTCTTGTGCCAGCGCTGTATAATCTAAATAAATTAAATTCGGGTAATGGCATTTTTATTTGCCTGATGTGAGACAGTCCATGTTGGAAATAAACTGATAGTTCCGGAGCAAAATAATATTACCGTGATCAAAAGAGGAAAGTTATGTCTCGCACAGGCAGCACGACCCTCCATCACCTATTGCTCATATGTGATTGATCAGGAACTTGCACGCCTGTAGCGGCTACAGATCCTGGGAAATTAAGTCTCAGTCAAAGTAGAAATAACTCCACAGTTAGAGTCTAATCACTGCACTTTAGGCCATCTTACTTTTTACGAGCCCCGGCAGTTCTACAAGGCCGCGCTTAACCTTTCCCACAACTTATCCCTCGTTAGAAAAGCCCCCCTTGCAGCCTCACCTTAGCTTCCTAAAGGATGGACGGCAGCCGTATGGAAAACACTGCGAAAATGACAATTAAATACCGGGCATGGATGAGGCGTTTACGGCCTCCGGTCGCGCAAAGGGCGCGTCGTAAAAACCCCCTTTTTGTTTCTCTGCTGCAGGGACGTAAACAAGCAAGCTCTGCCCCTCCGCTTTATGGAGCTTTATAGTTTGTTAAAACGTTTACAGCCACTTTCTCCTAGCCTATTACCCTCCCCAGTCCTCCTTACATGTTTATGGAGATCATATTTATAAAAGTATACGATGATCAGAAAGCCTGCGTCCAGGGCCCTGCAGCTCGTCTATTTCCTGATCAGCAGCAGTGAGACTGGAATGGAAGACAAGAAAGGATCCGACAACTGGTTTGAAAACCTCAATTACATTTATAGGCTGGTACTTGTTAAAACCAATACCAATTAGGAAGCGCTTTCCCTCTCTCTCTCTCTCTCCTCAGTCTGTGTTAACCTCTCTCTCCCGGGCTCACTGACATTTTCGGGCCTCATTCACTTCAGGAGCAGCAGCAGCCACGCGCTCTCCTTTAAGGATTCAGGAGGAAGAAATGAGAAAGAGCAATTAATGAGAGGGATGCTCTCAACGACTGTGCGATACACCCCCCGCCCCCCTCCACCACCACCATCACACAACCTCAATCTCAGCTTTAAAAGTTAAAAAAAAAAAAAAACCTTCCCTCTTTCTCTTCCCAACTCTTCTTCTTCCCCGGGGCGCGCTTCTTTTTTCTCTCTTCTCCTCCTTCTTTCTCCCTTTCTGGCCCCGGTGGTTGTGTTATTGTTTGGTTGTTGTTTGTTATGTTGTGTGTGTGTGTTTTGTGTCGGTTTCAAGGGATAATGGCATTCTATTATCCAAGGGCCTTTCTTCATTTCCCCATTGGGGCTTTTCCCACCGCAAACATATTTACCACCACGGTTTGGCACGGAGGGCGCGCCCCACACCAGAAACGCCCAAGTCTAAATTGCACTTTTTTTTTTTTTTTTCTTTTTGCGCCTTTTTTGGCACCCGGGGGGCCCACCCCGCTCCCTTGTTAAAAAGGCCTAAGGATTGATAGTCTCGGGCGTCGGGCTCCAGGAGGCTCCCCCCCTCCGCCGGCCTGTTGATAATTGCAAAACGGAGGAAAAAGAGAATTGGGTGAAAAAAAAAAGAAAGAGGAAGGCGAGGAAAGAGAGAAGGAGGAGAGAGGGCGAGGGGGGAAAAAAATGGTGCAGGGGCAATCAGCAGAAAGGGAGGAAGGGAAGGAGGAAGGGGGGTTTTAATTGGAAAATTCTTGGGCCGGCCTTGCATTTTTTTCGAAATTCAAATTGCGGCGGCCACCACCAACCCACACAACCAACTTTAACCCTTTTCCCCAAATCCAAAACAAAAACCCAAGAGAAGGAAAGAAGGAATGGAATTT